ATCATTAATAAATTATTGTTTTATTTAAAAAATACTAAATACAATTTAATTTTCCAGGCAAATTTGCCTGGAATACGATTTAAGGGATAAAAATTTTATATCAAATGAAATATCTCCAGAGTTGGCTGAACAAAGAGCTTTAAGTATTAAACTCTCAAAGAAGTATCAAAATGAATGTGTATCTCATATATCTAGCTTATTGATATAAACTAGATTAGTAAGAAGAAGAAATATATACCAACTTGAAATATTCTTTAAATACAAAGAGGAATCAGAGATTCAGCACTCTGTGCCATCATGACCCTTTAGGGTTATCTATTGGGCCTACTCTGCAATAGAATTATATATAATATATATATTTTTTTTTAAATTGTATAAATGCAGGTTGGTAGTATGTGACCTCTAGATCATATTTCATAAATTTTCTAGCAAATTCTAGTTGTTTCAATAGCTTGGAACAAAAAGTATAAAACCCAATTACTTTTCTTATCTATCTCAAAAATCGCTTCCCAAAAATTAATCAATTTCTTAATCATGAATACACCCACTTCTGTATCAGATATTCTTAATCAAATTCTCAATTCATGTTGCATCTGCCAAGAACTAATTAAAAAACCAGTCACTGTCTTGGAATGTGATCATATCTTACATTTCAACTGTGCTATTGAATTTTTTGTAATTAGTGAAAATATTACCTGCCCTGTTAAAAATTGCCAAAATCGAATTAAAAATATAGAAACAGTTGAAAAGGATATTGGTGATCTTGCAGAAGCTTTAAAACCTGGAAATACTCCTAAAATTAGATCTTTTTTTTAAGAAATTTCTAAAGATTTACCTCATTCTGACGCATTATCTAAAATAAAAAAAATACCTTCCTCAACTGCATAGGGATTTCTCCTCTTATATGTAAATATAGATCAAGCTGAAGAATTACTCGCTCACTCAGAAAGAAATGTGGTTCATGCGAAAAAAGAAGTCATCTTGTCTTATTATCAGTTCGGAAAAGCAGATGCAGAAAAACTTAAAGAGTTACTAAAGATATCGATCCCTCTACGCATAGCACAGAGTAAGATAATTGCTGAAGTTAAGAAATTACTTCCCAGTGGTACTTCTATTAATATTATAAAGAGAAGAATTGCTACAGCTCGAAAGATTTATGATATCTTCAGCACAATTGGTGAGGATAAGATCCAACGAATCAGAAATTTCAGTGCATCAAGTATTGGGGCTTTCAAAAAATATAAAATTGAGTTGATTAAAACTGGAGATAACAAATTTAAATTTAGAATAAAAAGGGAAAGTTCAAATATATGAACAGACTTCGATGTATTGCAGAGCAATGACCCAAAGGGTCTTAATTCTGGTACAAATTCATTAGAGTTGAATTATACAATTGATGTATTATATATGGATGATACAGAGATAATATTAGACAAATAATGATTTTTATATCATATGACATCGTACGGTTTTGGCTCGACATCATATGATCAAGTGTATTATTGTGAAGCAATGATGGCACAGAGTGCCAAATCTCCTTTCAGGTCTAAATTTGCCAATCTAATACTATAAAAGGTTATAACTCTTTGAGCCTAGCCTAAATGTGCATAATGTATATATGCATCAAGGCCTTATTTTTTTAATAATTTTAATAAAGTTATGGGTAGAAAACAAAATAATAATAATATATATCTATACTTAACAATTACATGATTAGTTAAAAAAAATAGTGAGCCCGCGGAACCCCTCTTTATTTAATAAAACATTGTTGCCGAACATTATACAAATAAAATATATATATTTATTATATAATAAAAAATGCCCTTAACAGGTTAGGTTGGTGGAGTTTACATTTGATCTAACATTTTCCTTCGTTGACCAGAGTTTAACCAATCATTATCATCATTTTCCTCATCATGCTCTAAGTTTTCTTTCAA